CAATAAACACAGGTTAAATGGAAACCCATTGTGCGGACTCATAAAATCGCTTTCCCCAATTGCCATTTTGGTTTAATGTTGTACATAGCATCTTGTACTAAACGAATCTAACTTGCTTTGTTGTCTAGATGGCTAAACAAAGTAAATATTTTGCGTTTTATGTCAATTTATTCCGTAACTGTGCGTATTTATTTAAATATATTTTGAATATTCGTGTTAATGTAGGTATATCAAGTTATGACTATCAAGTTTGTGTTGTGCTTTATCTATTTAGCACAAAATTATCGTTGCTTATGTATTGTAACCTTGTCCGCAAAACGGGCGAAAATCATAGTTTGTATCAAATATAGAAAGAGAGCTATCGCCATTAAGCCGTATTATTTACGACCAGCGGGAGTCCGCATTGTCGATTATAATTAGTTGCGCAAGACTGCAAGTCCATACAAGTGCGATGAATACCCATGATTTCATGTTTATATTGTACACAAACATCGTCTTGATTATTTCTTATCAATAAAATATGAAACTACAACTTTATAATATGAAATACAACATGAAATTGTTGCATTTGTATTGACTTGCGTCTTGCGCAACTAATTATAATCGACAATGCGGACTCCCGCTGGTCGTAAATAATACGGCTTAATGGCGATAGCTTTCTTTCTATATTTGATACAAACTATGACTTTCTCCCGTTTTGCGGACAAGGTTACAATACATAAGCAACGATAATTTTATGCTAAATAGATAAAGCACAACACAAACTTGATAGTCATAACTTGATATACCTACATTAACACGAATATTCAAAATATATTTAAATAAATACGCACAGTTACGGAATAAATTGACATAAAACGCAAAATATTTACTTTGTTTAGCCATCTAGACAACAAAGCAAGTTAGATTCGTTTAGTACAAGATGCTATGTACAACATTAAACCAAAATGGCAATTGGGGAAAGCGATTTTATGAGTCCGCACAATGGGTTTCCATTTAACCTGTGTTTATTGACGTTTTAGGCTATATAACTGCTCATGTGAAGAACGAATAATAAAATAAAAATCGGTAAAAAATTCACCAGGTCAAAATCTATAACATTAAACCATGACAGGTTAAACTTAACCTTGTTTTCTTTTTAAAAATCGCGCCCAACTTGGTATACCCATATTTCGATCTTGGCTGAAACTTGACCTATGCATTAATCTACCTGAGATAGCATCCCACATCTCTTCATCAAAGAACGTTTCAAACACTACATATACAAAGTTGTTAAGCAAAACAGATTTGTTACAAGTTGTTCCAACAACTTTGTTATCGTCCTGCAATTCAATAACTTGATGACAAGTTGTGAGTGACAACCTTGTAGGAACTTGATAAAATAACAGCATTGTTACAACTTATAATAGTTTTGTTTCTGGAAACACCACGTAAATTTATTACTGCAGTAACAAATTTACGTGGTGTTTCCACAAACAAAACTATTATATGTTTTATCGCCATGCAAACGTACAAAGAACTTATTGTTACAACTTGTTGACAAGCTTGCCACAAGCCTGTTGCAAACACATCTTGTTGACAAGTTGTGAGTGACAATCTTGTAGCAACTTGATAAAATAACAGCATTGTTACAACTTGTTGACAAGCTTGCTACAAGCCTGTTGCGAACACATCTTGTTGACAAGTTGTGAGATTTTTACATGTGTACACACGTACGTAAAAACGCACAAGTTGTTACAGGTCTGCAAACAAGTTGTTACAAATCTGTTCACAAGCTGTCGACAAGTTGTATTCGCACTGCTTGTTCCCAGTTATTGTAACAAGTTTGGAACAAGCTGTTAATAACTTGTAACAAACTTGATGTTATTATCCGACTTGCTACAAGGTTGTTCGACACCATAGCGGACTGGTTAGGTTAGGCTAGTTAACTGGACCTCGACGTGCATTTTAGATATCATAAAGTCCTCCACAAATTACCTTTCAAATACGGTTTCCATGTTTCGTCTGTCCATCTTCCATACCCGTCCCATATGAAGTTACATTTCATTCCACAACTAAAGTCATACTTCTTGCCCAGCTTCGCTAGAATGTCTCTTGGCAAACTGTTGAATAGGAACAAACCTTGAACAAAAGAACATAAATATAAAACAGAAAATCGCTTGTTTTGTAAAGTTGCCAGAATTCATGCATATAGCCTAGACTTCTTTCTATTGCCGGAAAACAGGCAGACATTTTGAACAATGAGTATGACTGAATAAAATTCATTACCGATGGAATTCGAGACAATCAGTATGCGTGCATGTAAAGCTTTAAAGGTACTCTTCGTGGGCTGGTTTTAAGCCAGTTTTCCACGAGGTGAATTTGTTCTCTCGAAACGACAGACACAAAAATGGGAATGGAAAAATCCATATACCATTATAAAGGCAGTTGCAGTTGGACATTTCCGAGTTTAAATAACTTCAAGGCCAAAGCCACGGAACAACTTTTTTTGATTGAGAATGTGTCTAAAAATGTCCTGGAATATGTCCATATTCTGCCGTTTTCCGACTCGAAGTCATTTTCTGCTATTGCGAATCAGTGCAAATCTATTTAGTATGTCTAATATGTGTGAAAGAAAATGAAGTATAGGCTTTAAACCTTTCACAAGTTATTTCTAAAGAGAGCTATATTGTCTAATTATTGAAAGCAGAATAGCGTTTTAAAAATCAACGCATGGATAAAACACCTGCTCAGTCTAAAAATGGCTGGAAAATGGGATGATAATGTCCAGGAAAGATAATAAACCCATAGTGATGTCGGCGGGCAATTTCCATCAAAGTAGGGCAAACTTTGTTCCGCCCGTAAACCCGTAGGCGTTCCAAAGCGGGCTGACTGTCTGCCACGTAGGCTAATGTGGCCGTTAATGCTTTATAGTAACGGCAGCATGATCAGTTTTGATGACACGTAAATAATTTGTCAATATCGGGATTAGCAATGTAATTGTTGTAACACTTGCAAGTTGTAACAATGCTGTTATTTGACAAAGTTGCTACAAGGTTGTCACTAACTCACAACTTGTTGACAAAGTGTTGAATTGCAGGACGATAACAAGTTGTTGGAACAACTTCTTATAGCGAATTGTCAACGAGCCGTCGACAACTTGTCAACAAGCTGGGAACAAGCAGTGCGAATACATCCTGTTGACAAGTTGTCGGAACAGCATTGCTACAAGTCTGCTGCAGGTTTGTTACAACTTGTGCGCTTTTACGCGAGTGTGCCTTCGATCGCGAAAAGAAATTCGATTCATATAACCCGCGCAGCCCACGCGAAGCTTAGGCATATGGCGAATGCATCGCAGCAGGAGATTAAACAATCAACTTTCAAACAATGAACGTACTATCAACATCTCGTCTTTATCTGTCAAAATCTCGTTGGCGAAACGGGTTTTTTACAGCAGGTGGCTTGCAAAACGCTTTGTTCATGCAGTTTGACACAGGGCAGTGAAAACAACCTGTTTAATTAAACTATTGTAGTCGTTCCAGAACAAATATTAGTGAGTTTAATTAACAAGGGTGGGTTGACTACAAAATTTTTGTAGTTCGCTATAACTACAGCTACTTCAAAAATATGCAGTCAGCTACAACTACTGCTACTTTTGAACAAAGGTAGTTCGCTACTGACTACAGCTACTGCTTTAAAAATGTAGCGACTATTTCGCTATTTCGCTATTTCGCTACGCTATATTGTTTAGTTTTACTGTATTTGGAGCATCTACTAACTCAGGCTGAAATGTAACCTATAACAAATCGACTTACGAGTAGCAACAGTAAACACAAAGCAACATTTTTGTAAGCACTACAGTGTTCAAGAGTGCAAATTGACTATTGAGTATTGATTTTAAGCAAACCGTGTCTCAATATCATTCTATTCTATCAAGTTGCTAACAATTTTAAAAAGTAGCGAATAGCGATTCCCTGTTTGAAAAGTACTCAACTACTCGGCTACTTTTAGGCAAAATGTAGTTCGCTATAACTACAGCTACTGTTTTAAAAAAGTAGTAAAAAACTACTGAGGTCTGAGTACTGGCTACTTGAAAATTGTAGTTATAGTAATTATACAACTACTTCAGTCGCTACTACCCACACTTTTCTGGTTCGCAATTGTAAATGAATATAAACTATTGTACGTTTCAATTAAAAAAAGTTGGAAAGAATCAAAATTTGGGCAATGTTTATATCTGTGGGTCTCCCTTTGTCATGAGCAGAACTGATGCGCATGCACAGCGGACTTTACATGGTCTTTAAGCTTCACGTTATACGTCAAACGGCAAACGCCAGGCAAAGAAAAATCTTACGGTATCATGCAGACAACCGTGAGAGTAAATGAACTTGCTGTTTTAAACTTTTAAAACTGCAACGCATGATTATTCTTTCGACACAAGAAAGAAAATATGAAACGAAAACGTTCAACGAAAATTTTGCCAAGAACGTTCGGACCTGCCATTTGCCGTTCCTTGAAACGTGAAGATTAAACTCCCTAATTAATAAAATTGGTGGCATTTTGCATCATCGCGTTTGTGTAAGCGAGCTTAAAAACTTTAAGCGTACAAGTTGTAACAAACCTGCAGCAGACTTGTAGCAATGCTATTCCGAGGACTTGTCGACAGGATGTGTTCTTGAGCTCAACAGACTTGTTACAAGTTGTTCGAACAACTTGTTATCGTCCGGCAATACAACAATTTGCCAACAAGTTGTGAGTGACAACCTTGTAGCAACTTGATAAAATATAACAACATTAAAATATAAAACAACGGCCGGTAACTCCGAAAAATAAACATTTTAATATTCAATCTTAGTCGAAAGCTAGAATATTAAAATGTTTAGTTTCGGATTTACCGTTGTTTTATATTTTATTAAAATACTCAGTGGTTCCCGTAATTTTTATAACAGCATTGTTACAACTTGTTGACAAACTTGCTACAAGCCTGTTGCGAACACATCCTGTTGACAAGTTGTGAGGCGATTTTTACATGTGTTAGTGTGTACAAGCGCTTGTCTTGTAAAATCGGTCTTGATAATTCTCGATATCACGCTCAACCTCATCCAATAATTATGAATTATTATTAAAGGCATGAATTTTTTTACCTTGACCATTTGGTAGTCGTATGTTCATTGTAATTTTCTTTCCCCTTTGTAACGGTTGAAGTAGGTAGTCGTGTTTCGCACGACCTCGTAACGTTCCTCTTGGCTGCATTTTACCTTGCGCGTTTCCTGCACGTAAAAAGAAAAAGAGTCAATACAGTTCAAAAATAAGATAACAAGTTGTTGGAGCAACTTGTAACAAGTCTGTTGAACTCAATAACCTCGTAGCAAGTTGTCAGCAAGCCGTTGACAACTTGTCAACAAGCTGGGAACAAGCAGTGCGAACACATCCTGTTGACAAATTGTTGGGACAGCATTGCTACAAGCCTGCTGCAGGTTTGTTACAACTTGTGCGTTTTTACATGTGTAAACACTCAGGAATGAATTCTTCAGCAAATAATTCGACTCGAAACCACAGCTTACCAATTATGAACCAATCCTTGGGAGGATCTCGAAAACCGTCGCAGAGCGTGTAATCAAGCGTGATGTCCACATGATAGATCCCAGGCTCCACGATCAAAAACACGACCTCATACGAGCCATTCCCAAGATCGAATACTGTTGGTCGCAAACTTGCAACTGGACTGTGAATTAAAATTCGCCACCAGTCTCCCCCGGTCGTTTTCAAACTCCTCTCACTTGAAACAGCTTGAATAAAAAATCGGCTAAATTGTCCGGCCGGCTTCAAGTGCCAATGGGAGACAAAACTCGTAGATGCGTTTGTTCGTATACCACTTTGCACGAAAGTCCATTTTACTTGTTTTTTACAAGGACCCAGCACACTTTCAATGTTTGATCTTGCCTGCCTGACTCGACACCAATCTTTCATAAAAATTTGAAAATCTTTCAAAGGCAAAGCTTCTAGCTTCGGATTAATAAAGATTTCAGTTCTCTTTAGAAGAAAAACAACTAAAACAGCTAAAAGCTTTAGTATTATAATACCTGCGAACAACGCTACTAGCGAATACTTCAATTTCATGTTTGAAACTTTTGCAAGTTTATATAATAAATATGATTTCTTAAACTATGACGGGAAACGGTCAAAACGTCAAACGTGGCAGGCATATTATTATGATTTATGTAAATTATGCGTGCTGATTAATTTTTGTCAAGGTAACAAAACGGTTTACATCAACAGGCAAACGTGTAAAAATATCAATTAAGCAAAGATCGATACTTTTGGCTTCTCGCTAGATAAGGACTAATAGTAGATGTTTTCCTGCACATGTAATTTTCGAACATCAATTTATATACATTAAAACCGAACCAGGAATTTTAGGCAAACTTTACGTAATTTCATCTATGATCTACAAAATACATAGTTAATTAATAGAATAGATATGGTTTCGAAACTCATTAGACTAACAATATAACTCGTTATCTATGTTAGTCAACGTTTATTCATAAATATGGTCCTTCACCGTCACGTGTGTATTGTATTTTTGCCAAATCCACCGGCACCAATAGCAATTTCCAATTTACCCTATTGTTCGAGTCACGGATAGGTAACTTTCCTATAACATTGCTATTGGTTAGTTGGGCAAAAATACAATACGCACGTGACGTTGAACGACCAGATTTATGAAAAAACATAAGCATACGGCAGTGATTAGGGAGCAGAAATAATTTTGCCCGACTGTTTATCGGTTGTTTTTGTATAACTTCCAAAGTTGTTGTCGAGGTTGGCTATTATTATCATAAATATATTTCTTCGTTTTTATTTTATTTCCTCGACATTTTTTCCAACTTAAGTTTACATTTTGCCAAACTTCGACTACTCGGGGAGGGCAGCTACCCCCGAGTCGTGCGCTTATGTTGAAAAACTCTATCCAGTGCCTTTTTAATTAAGCACTGCAAAGGGAAATTTTTTTCCAAATAGGAGATCTAGAAGTGCCAGACTGTGGAGGCTTGCCCAAAGGCACGAAATATATAAAAGTGAGTGTGTATTTATAAATTTATAACTGACTTTTATCAGATTGATTTTCTGCATGGGTCGCCATTTCAGAGCAATGTTTGAGGCTATTTGTGTATGTGTGTATGAGGGTGGGTGGGGGGGGGGGAGGGGGCAATTGCCCACCCAATTATATTGTAGTTGTTAAAGTGCGACAAACCACAAATATGATTTTTGGCATGTGTAATATTTGGGTCATTCAAAGAAGAAATGTAATGTATCTTTAAAATAAAAAAATGCCATCTTGATCAACTTTTTCACTGTCAAAGTTCCCGGATATGATGTCATTAGATGAATTGCAAATTAGTTTCATTTGTTTTTTTGTACCAAAAATTCACCTAATGACATCATATCTGGAAACTTTGACCGTGAAAAGTTGATCAAGATGGCATTTTTTATTATAAAGATACATTACATTTCTTCTTAGAATGACCCAAATATTACAATAAATCATATTTGGGGTCAGTCGCACTTCAAAAGAGGCTATCACTCTATGGGCCACCGTACTTTTGCCTATGAATGCTTTGAAAAAGTGAACACACAAATCAAAGTTTATTTACGATATTTAATGACAGCAATATTTCGAACAAACTCAAGTGTTTGTTTACATATATACTACACTTACTCGTATACTGGTAGCATCAAGCTCCAACGAGTTAATACTACAATAATATATAATAATGATAAAACAAATGATGCAAATTTATATCGACTACGAGTGCTACAATTGCACCAGGCAATGCACATGCACTCGTGCCATTCTAGGCGTTATTACACACTGAGGAATTAATAATGGAAAGTGGATAAATGCTGAAAAAAACACAAAGGTCTTGTCGTTTTTGAAAATGTTTTTGTTGATCTGGTGTTGTTTTTGTTGATATTGTTGTTGTTGTTGTTGTTGTTGTTGTTGTTGTTGCTGTTACTGTTGTTGTTATCGTTGCTTTTGTTGTTGTTGTTGTTGTTGTTGTTGTTGTTGTTGTTGTTGTTGTTGTTGTTGTTGTTGTTGTTGTTGTTGTTGTTGTTGTTGCTGTTACTGTTGTTGTTATCGTTGTTGTTGTTGTTGTTGTTGTTGTTGTTGTTGTTGTTGTTGCTGCTGTTGTTGTTGTTGTTGTTGTTGTTGTTGCTGTTACTGTTGTTGTTGTTGTTGCTGTTACTGTTGTTGTTATCGTTGCTTTTGTTGTTGTTGTTGTTGTTGTTGTTGTTGTTGTTGTTGTTGTTGTTCACTGCTACATGTGAGCTTTCCAAAGACTACAAATTGCACTTCGGACTATGTTTTGTTACCTTTTGAAAAACTCACTCGCGCATCCTGCCTTTTTTGAAATTGCACTTAAAAAATCCAAACTTAAAAAATCGTATATAGAGTAATATATCATGTCAAAATTTTCATGTGTATTCGAAATAGTACACTCATGTAATATTAAGATTCATTGTGTTATGGAATTAGACGGAATCTGCTCTTATTAAGTGAACAAATTTGAACAACAATTTTGTGAAATATTTATAGCTTTTGTGATATTTTTTAGCATTCAAGTTATTATACCACACAGTAAGTAATGACACTACTGTCAAACAAGAGAAAGTCTCCAAAAAGAAATTAAACAAACGTCTGCGCGTAAACGTTAAAAGCTATCCCAGAGGGGAAATTCTAAATATAAACAACACTATATTTTTAACAAAACTAAGTCTCAAAAGGGAAAAACAAAACACTGGCTGTGTGTAAACAATAAACATTTAGTTATCCGAGTTATACTCCAGTTTTTATGCAGTTGCAGTCATTTCTTGCGGGGGCGGGGGTGGTGGGATTGGTGGCCAGTCACGTGATATGACCTTAAGGCGTATCTTGGCTTGCTTGTACTCTTGTTTGCTGAAATACTGCTTGAATATTTTATCTTTGTCGTAGTTTTCGCGGTAATGGTCAGCACCTTGAAGCAAGGTCAACAGCACACGCATGTAGAGGTCAGGAGTCTTCTCAGTCAGCAAAGTGTCACGTACTTCCTGCACCAAACTTTGCTTGATTTCTAAGAAATAGTTTGGGGGAAATTTCAAGAAAATCAAATTATTGGTGAAAATTTCGAATCACATATTTGGGGAGTATTCTGAAGAGTTTCTCAGAAATGTTGGAGAATATTTCTGAGAATTGCTATATTTGAGAAACATTTTCCAGTACTAAATGTGGACGAGAATTTCTGAAAAAGTACTACTACGAAAAGCGATAATTTCTGAGAGATGTCTGAAAGAATTTGTCAGATTAAATATAGATAATTTTATAAAAATATTGAATATAACTTTTACAAAAGTCTAAAAGGATTTATAATACCTATTGGAGAGAATCTGTTAATGTTTCTAAAGGTATATACATTCTTATTCTTGGCTTTTTTCAATTTCATCATTCAACAAGTCACACAAACAATAAATCATAAATCACCCATCTAATCAGTCAGTTAATTAATCGATAAAAATATATATGAATAAATAAATTAACCAATCAATAATTGAATCAATCCATTGAACAAAATAATTATTCAATAAAATTAATCAACTAATGAACAGATAACGAAACCAATTAATAAATTGATCGTAAGATTATTACCAAGCAATCTTGGCGCAATAATGATAAACTTCATGTGATCATACCTTGATTATTGAGATAAAATCTTGTGCCAACAGACAGCTTTTCCTTCCTGAAAATACCTGACTTGACTAAGCTATCAAGAGTAAGAACAGAGGCGCTCTCATCATCATTCTTGTCGACGCTCTCTTCAAGCCAGTCTACCAGTTCGCGAGGATGATGACGTTGCTCGATCATTTCAGTCAACGCCATCGTATCAAGGTATGTCGATGTGCCTTGGTTGTGATCGAGCTAAAGGTAAAACGATATTGAAATTACCTAAAGTTGCACTTATCGCTACTGTTTCTGGTTAGGTCTAATAAATGTATATAAATTTCCACTCGATCATTTCCATCTACAACACCCTTCAACTATAACATTCAATCGACTGAAAAACGGCAAACTTCGCAAGGCTATATTATCCGCATTTTACAATATTTCGCAACGAAACTTAGGAATATTACTAATTTTGTGATGCTCTTTCAAGCTGTGGTGAAATTTTTGTCTGGACCTGTTGAAATCAAAATTTTGGTTATTAGGCAATACGTTCATTCTGTCTTACTACAGGAGTAAAGGCCCTGTCACACTATTGCGTATCGTACTAGCGTATGCCAGCGTATGAAAAATATCACTCATACGCCGGTATACGCTGACATACGCTAGGGGTACGTTAGGCATAGGTTGTATACGTTTCAAGCACGGTGGCATACGCTGGCATACGGCGAGGCAGAACATTTTTTTAAGCATGTTCAAAAATTTTGTGCGTATTGGACGTATGCTTTATACGATAAGCATACTCTAGGCACACGCTAAATACGCTAGAGGTACGCCAGGTGTACGGTACTCATACGCTGGCATTTCAAAGGATTTTTGTGCGTATGAAAATTATTTCGTTAATTTTCATACGCTTCTCATACGTTTCTCTCATACGCAATAGGGCCTTAAACCTAAATTAAACTATTTGGTCATAACTACCTTCAACTTCCTTAGTAATCATGTGATTCTTAATATTTTTACCACCACACCTATCAATCTAACTCATCTGTTATTCCTAGGGATCATGCAGTTGGTAATATAAACTAAAATTTTATTTATATACTGGATAGCTCTATCAGTTCTAACCTTTTTTCCCTAGAGGTCTAGTAAGGTTTCTTCCTGTGGTAACTGAATCAATATAAGAGATGATCCTTACTGGACCTCTAGGGAAAAAAGGTTATAACTGGTAGAGCTATGCAGTATAAATAAAATTTTAGTTTAGGTTTCGTAAACT